TGGGCTCTGTTTCAAAACCAGGAGAGGGAAAAAGCAGACACCACAACTCTTGAAACTCCCGTCGCATGTCTTAAGTTGCCAGCCTTCGAAGAAAAAGGGGAAAAGCAAAACACCCCAGCAGTTGTATACCAAGAATCCCAGGTTTTAAAATGTGCAGCCAGAAAACGGCACGCGGTTTCATCAGGATGGCGGCCAACACAGCTTGACACACACACACCCCGAACACTGGCCTTTTCCTGCTGAGACCCAGATCCACGGCACACGACACGTGGCATCAAGAAGAGCATTATGGGGTGGCACCTTCCGAAGGGGAGTGAGGCGGGTCTGTAGCAACAGAACACTTCTGTCAAGTACCATCCCTGCTAGCTGCAGGTCTTTTGTAAAGTCAGTGGCTCTTAACTGCCCACCCATGACCCCAAGAGGCCTCTTGCAAACAAACGACTATATTATGACATGGAAACCCAGGACGGTGAGGGCTTCGGGTGAGCTGAATGGGGAAGGGGAGCAGATCTGCCGTTGCCAGCTGCAAATCAAAAATGTTCGGTATTTTACAAGCCCAGATCCTCAAAGCACTGGACGAATGTCTGGGATCTGGCTGGTCAGGGGCATCTTCAGCAACGAGGAGCGACCAAACAAATTTCCATATTTTTTAGAAAGGCGGCTTTTTGCTTACTTACAGGGAGAGACAAGGGAAACAGCCAAAAGAGAGCAACGACCAAGTTTACAAATAACATCCAAACAAAAAATAAACACAGAAGCAGAAGTGGCCTTTGCTGTTGCCATCTTACTGCGGCCGTATAAGGACGTCGCCGCTTATATTTTTCAATAAGTGCCTCTTGGCACATCACCAACTGTGTTAAAACAGGTTGAGTTGGGGTTTGAGGGGTTTTGTTCGCTCCTTGACTGAAACCGGAAATGTGACAGGCATAGGGCAAGCTGCTTCCTTTTTAAAAAGGAAGCTTTAGGGCAAAGCCAGCCCTTAAAAGTGGCTCCTTCCTTGCATGAATGGAAAGCAATGCCGCCTTGCAAAAAAAAAGGGCCTCCCTTTCCCATTCACAAAAGCACCACGGAGGAGCTGGGGACCTCCAGAGAATGCGTTTCGCAGAACAGGGCCTGAGGCCATCCCTGCTCGGAGGCTCAGACTTTTGAGGAGGAGATCCAGAACGGCGTCTCTAAAAACTACGACTCCCAGGATCCACCAGCCTGCCTGGCCGTTTGGGAACAGTAGTTCCTCGAGAGCTCCGAGGGAAATCTAGAAGGCTATGACTGCAGCCCCCACGTTAAAAACCTAGAGAGGGAACCACGAAAACCATAATCCCCCCCAAGTGTTATGGCCCATGGCCACTTTCCCCACTGCAAAACTCACAACAGTGAGCACACCACAAGGAAGAGCAGCATGGAAAACAGCTCTTTCCCCTTTCTCTCCCTCCCCCCCCCATACATCTGTTAGAAATAAAGGGGGCATGGATGTTTCTGGATATTTCCGTTGGAAATATGAATTTTCATGGGGTTTCAGTTTGGCTGTAAAGAACACAGCTTCAGGCTAGAGAGAGAGAGAGGCAAGAGGGGAGCAGGGCCGGGGGGGGGGAGGGAACGGGATCTTTCCTGTTTTCATTCCAGCATCTTTGCAGCTGGTCACCCATCATCTGCACGCCTGGGATGCACAAGAGAAGCACGGAGGTCCCTGGTTGGTTTTTGAAGCGGCTGCTTTCGAAAGCCAAAGACTCCACCCCACTCTGGCCTGTGCTCAAAAGAGTTTTGCCTTCCAGCATCCTTGGCTAGGTAGGAAAGGACATGCTAACCCTGAGTCAAAAAATAAAAAAGAGAGATTAGGCTGAAGACATCACGAGAACTATTATATCCTCCAAGGCCATTTTTAAAACAAAACCATGCAGGGCCAGTGCGACGCAGGGGGGGGGGAATCAAAATCCACATTAAGTCCCACCAGAAAGGCATTCAAGTATGTAAGCTTCTGAGTTCACCAGAATCCTTGATCAGGCTGGAGGGAGGGGATATGAAGATGAAGGGATCTGGCCAATTCGAAAGCTTGCACACTTTTAAGCTTCGAGATCCTTGATCAGGCTGGGGGGAGGGGATATGAAGATGAAGAGATCTGGCCAACTCGAAAGCTTGCACACTTTTAAGCTTCGAGTGTACTACAACCTGGAAGTATACGCTTGTCTGTGACTGTTCAGACCATGGCTCCTTTTCCAGCGGGAACTTCCCAAGCAACGCCTCCAGGAAACTGCCAGGAGATTAAGGAGCCCCAAAAAGCCTTTGGAAAAGCATCAGGGTAAAAAAAAAATGCCAAGGAAGATTCTCCTTGCAGGAGCAGGAGCGAGAGGGAGCATCTCCACTGTTCGAACAGAGGGACGCTCTCGCCATTCCCTGAATGCTTCTACTCGCAAGGAAAACCACCAGGCTTTTCAGAGCCATGCCCAACTGGGCTCTGAACTTCCCCAATATAAAGGTGGGGAATTATGAAAATGGAATTGAGCTGTCTGTCTTTCCTGTTCCACCCCGATCTGTGCTTGCCGACGCATGTACGGCACAGCCGAACCTGCCCTTTGCAAGAAAGGACAGCATGCTTAAGCCGGGCAGGTCCAGTCAGGAGATCTTCCGAGACCTTGGCTGGCTGGGAAGCTGCTGGTGCAGAATGCCGCTTCGCCAGTTCCCCTACCTACATCCTAGCCAGTCTGAAACGTGCGCCTGGTGACGGCTGGGGCCCACCTTTGCCATTAACTACAAGCGGAAGAGTTGTCTTCTTCTCCTTTCCATGGGGGGGGGGCGGAGGAGGGGGGAGAGAGAGAGAAATCTCAGCACCAAAAAAGCAATCCTCTTCCAGGAGGCGTTTAAAACTTAACTTATGGGGAATGCCAGAGGAAAAGAGAGGGCCCCCCCCACACACACACACTTTTCTCTGGCAAGCTGAGCGAGTTTAAATTCAACCCCTGTTCTCTTGCCTCCTCTTAAGCGTAGGCTTGTGTGCGTCAGATGAATGGATTCCTGTTTTAATATTCCCGGGGGTGGGGATGGTTTGAAGACATAGAAGGGAAAACAGACACATGTGTGAGCATTTTTTTTTTTTTGCACGTGTGTTTCGTCCACTTAAAATGCTGTTGTTAATCAGGAGCTTTTCCTTCCTAATTATGCCCCACTGTCTACCTCCTTCTACTGGACATCATCATGAGACAGACAGACAGACAGACAGACAGACAGACAGACAGACAGACAGACAGACAGACAAACAAACACACACACACACACACACACAGACACACACACAGAAAAAAGGAAGTTTTGCTGGTCGCCTAAGTGGAAGGAGGAGAGGCAGCCGTTGTTCAGCCTTTAGGCTACGTCTTGGGGACCCCAGCCAGAACTGAAGAGAGACAGAGCGAGAATCCTGGCCCCCAGCCCTTGTGAGACTCGGACCAATTTCTTGCAGATACGGACAACCTCTGGACATTGGCTGCTTGCCAAGGGGAAATGGGAGCTGAGCAGGGATCGGAGATTCACCTGGGGCCCAGCCTCTGCGGGAAAAGCACCAGGGGAGAGGCTGCGGGGCAGACAGCTTCCAGAGGCTCCAAGCTAAGCCTGAAATTCCTTAAAGGAAATGGGCCTGCATACAGATGCACGCACACACGCACGCACAGACAGCTAGGTCCTGCACACATGGACGCACGCACAGCATGAGAGAGCAAGGCTCAAAGTGGGGGAGAGATCGGCACGTCTCTCCACCAGCCTTCCCCCCCCCACCACCGTGCTTCCCTGTTGTCCGACGTGATGTAAAAGAAAGCATCTGTTCAATTGCGGACAGCAGCAGAACGACTGGACTTCTTAAAAGCACTTCAAGCCACCACTGTCCCTTTTTGCATCAAATTAAGTTATATAAAACATTAACATGATTCAAACAAGATGCTTCAGTGGGAAGTGCCCGCTTCGCTCAGGATAGCAGAGAAGAGGGTGCCGAAATGCTATCAGAGGGAGAGAACTAACCATTAACAATCGCTGGCTGTTCCCAACTACAGCCCCCCCACCCCACCCCATAAACAGCACAGCCAGCTCATGTCCTCCTTCACGCGGATCCCAACCGCTCAATGAGCAACACCCGTTTATATTTCTTAGAGAAAACATTAGCCAGGTTGGCTGGGGCATGCTGGAAAAAACAGTCCTGAAAACTCACTCCGCCAGGCTCTGATAGGAACCTCCCCAGTCTTTCTCTCTCAGCTCCCAACATGACCACCCCAAAGCTTGGGGGATCCTTGAAAAAAGACACAATCGCTCCCACAAGCAAGACGGCCAAATTCAAACCGTTCTTCCTGTCGCTGGCATTTCAAGCAGTGAGTGACCGGGAAGGATGCGTCTCTGCCTGAACGCCTCCAGAGCTGGCACTACCTGAACGCACGGCCCTTGAGCAGGGAGCCAGATTGACCAGACTGGGATGAAGCAGCTTCCAGGACCTGCCGCTCACCTGGACACAGCAGGTGATAACAAAGGGCAAAGCTGCGAGGGAGGGTTTTTCTCACAAGACACCAAGACTTTCTGGGAACTCATGCCTGCAACAGAGCAGAAGCACCGAAGGCCATGGATGTCTGCATGGGATACCGGCGGGGAGATAATTTTTAAAGACTCATATTAATGATCGCCCTCAGCTCACAGACACAAACATAAACACTGTCCAAGTACACATATGACCAATAAAGACATGGGGGTTAGGGGGCTGGAGGTGTGTGTGTGTGTGTGTGTGTGTGTGTGTGTGTGCAAATAAATGTGTGTGTTAGGAAAGGTTTAGACAAAATATTCACACAGATCCATGGACTGGAAAGCCAAACTAGACAGCCAAAGGAAGAACCAGGATGGGAAGAAACGGTAGCTGCGAATCAGCGCAATGCAACAAGATCTGAACAGCGCAATTTCTAATCAGGACCACAGGTGTTAAAAATCGGGCGAGAGCGAAAGAGGCAGAGAAAGCTGGCCTCCAAACCAGTCACTTCCCTTACCTTGGGGGGGTCAAACAGCGCCAGGACGTAATTTTCACTCTCTGAAGGCCCTTCTTTCCGTAAAACGAGCCGGCACCTCTGCCAGCGCGTCCCGTTGTCCACGTTGGCCTCGGTCACCATCCAGTATTTGAGACCGCCTTCTTTCCGGACCTGAGGCGGTGGGTCTCGCGAAAGGGCCCACGGGAAGATCTTCCGCGCCAGGTTAGACTTCAGCACAGAATCCGACATTTCCCCATCGGGAGGGGGCGGCTCTGAGGACCTCCTGCGGAAAAAGTTACGCCAACTCCTCCTCAGGCGGGTGAGGGAAAAGTGTCTCCTGACGGCCAAGGAAGGAGGCGTTCCAGTAAGTTCCTCAGAACTCCACGATTTGGGGAGGCCGGCGGGACGGGCCTCAGGTGGTCCCCGGTCAACTGGTCCACCCAGTTCCATTTCACTCTTGGCCCCTAACGTCCCAGTGGGGGAGGCGCCGGCATGAGTTCGGCCAGTCTCCCTGTAGTCCCGCACCTTGCTAAAGGGCAGAACGCGGAACTGGTTCATGGCGGAATGGTCCTTCACCTCATTGCGGAAATACTGCTGGAAGAGGTCAGCAAACTGGAGGGAGAAGTTGTCGGCCGCCAAGATTTCGTGCTCGGGGTTTTCGCTGACAAACAGGAGGTACTTCCGGGCCAGCTCTCGAGCGGTGGTGACGGCATGCTGTTCGCAGAACTCGCTCCAGCCCCCGGCGTGCGCAGGATCTATGGGTGGCCCAGCGTGTCCATTCATGGTAGGAACTTGAAACACTCAGATGTCCTGCAAAACACAGCAAAAAAAAATGAAGATGTGTGCCGTGAGGGACTTCACAAGGCAACGGAAGAGGAAGCACTGAAAGCGAAGAGAGCGGAACCAGACCCTCAAGTACATGCAGGTATAAAGGGCAATCCATCAGGGAACACCCGTGCATGGGGCTATGCGCCTATGTGCTACCTAGGCAGACAGAGCTGACTATCTTGGTACTTTTTAAAAAGTAAGGTGGGATAAAAATATTTTAAATAAATAAGTTAAACAAATATCTAATATACTCGATGAATGCAAGGTCAGTAGAGAATGAGAGTGATTAAGAGTGAAGTAATAATATGGCTATAGGCGAGGGCAGTCTTCGGCATTGTGTATCCTGACAACAAGCATCTACTCCGAATCCTCTCTGCATCTGCCTTGAACCCCTTGCTTGTTGGCCAAGCAATCTCTCTCACTTCGTCGGAGGTTCTTCGTCGGGCGAACTTACATGCACAGATCTGACTGAGTTCCCTGACTGGGTGCTTCTAGTAGCTGCCATTCAAAAAAAAAAAGGGGGGGGGGCGTTTCCAAGCTTTGAAACAGAGAGCTACAGAAAGAAAGGTACAGTCACTAAGCCATCATTGTGAGGGGTTTCAAAACAGTAAAGGTCCTTCCAGGTTTAGGTCCCGTTTTCCTTCAGGAACCTGAGACTTGGCCGAAAGCCAAGGTTTGGAAAATCTGTATCCTCTTCTGTTCTATCCTGGAGCAATGCTACCACCCCAACCGACCGCCCCCCCTTTTTTCCTGGAGAGGTGATGTTAACGTGCCTCCTCCCATAATGGATGTCCAAATGATCCAAAGTCGTCATCCTGCCCCCTACATGTGGGGCTGAGAACACAAGGTCTCCAGAGGTGCAGTTCTACACCCCTTGAACTGCCTGAACTGCCCTTCCCTCACTGGCAGATGTGACGGACTGAAGCTCCTGCCATCCGCAGGCTTTTTACATGGGACAGAAACATACTCCCGCATGGAGCATGCGGCTTCCCATCAAGGCTAGGGTCATCAGTAGCCGCTGTTCAGGAGAGCTGGGGGCCACTGACGCCATCAGAAGCAGCATACCTCGTCTGCAAAATTAGCATGCAGTCTGTGTTAGCGGCCCCTCCCCATGGCCAGCTGCCCAACAAAAGCAAGCTGATCTGCAGTCAAACCAGTTAAGGATAATCACACATACTTTACTGCTTAAGCCAGCTCTGCTTCTAGTTGCAAAGCTGCCCACTGGCCTGCTTCAGCCCAGAACAGCAGGTCCTCCTTCCCTGTGGACGATGCACGTTGAGAGCGAAGCAAACCACATCGGTTGGTGGCGTCCAGGAGACAGTAGTGCTGGGAAAGGTTATTTCATAAAGGTTTAGGACCAAGGGAGACGGGGGCTTTACATGCGATCGGAGGGAAGGAATGCTCAAAAAAAGTATGAAACGCATGTGACAGAGTAAAGGCACCGCAAGTTACAAACTGGCTGTAGCGCTGGAATCCGTCCTCTGTCCACGTTTGCGCGGTGGCAGGTCGCCGGAGCCTCTTGCCCCCCCCGAGTGGGCCCCCCCGGCTGGCAGCCTCCTCAGTCTATCAGTGCAACCAGCCTGCAAATGACTCAGCACCCTCGCTTCCTTCCACGCACCGTTCTCATGCCTTCGCCTCAGTCCCTTCAGCGCTCCCTGGGAAACCCGGGGCAGTGGGGGGGGGTAGGCGGAAGAGAAACCGAGTCCATACAGGGCGTCTGAGAAAAGGAGTCGGGTCTCTTGGGTCTCTCTTCCATCACAGAGCCAGCCCCCCCCTCTTTTTTTTGGATTCGGCTGCCAGAAGACAGAAAAGGGAGTCGGGTCAAACTTAGGGTGCTTTTTCCTGGAGCTTTCTAGGTACATACGACGTTGACCAGCCCGTCCTTCTGGGGAGCCCTGGGACTCTTGTGCAGCTGGCCCCAAAACACCCAGGCTGGCTCTACTTCCAAAAGGCACAGTATGGGGGGGGGCGGAGAATGCCAGTTCCTGCGGCTCCAACTCACAGAGCTATTGGACGGGCACAAAAACACACCCGTGTACCTGACATCGCTTGGCCAATTTACAGACTCTTTTCTGCGATGGAACAAAGACCGCCTGAACCACACACACACACACACACCCATATACAGATCCAAACAGCTACAGACCCGCAACCTGTACCTAGAAGTGGCCTCGTGCACGGCCCAGACATCTTTTAAGCAACACCCGGCAGTTACACAACGGAAAGCCTATTTCTAGGAAGGGTTTCCCCACAATCGAATGCAGCAACGAAAGGAAATGAGCCGTGTCGAGACATATACGGTACCTTTGCAGAAGCTAGACCGGCCACTGACTGCACGCAGGCCAAAAAAGGGAGGCCAGTCCATGAGGGAAGCCCACCTCCAGACAGAACGACATGCCCACCGGCAGCGCCTTGCGATTTCCTGCCAAAACAGGGGGACCGGATGGTTTTGACGTCGTACGCCAAAGGCCGCCCTGCGCGCGCTCTAAAATAGAACAGCTTGAAACCTCCCCTTCTCCCTGTTTTAAAAAATTAGCAATACACAATTGCCTTTCCCACCCACCCCTCCTCCTCTCCTGGGTACTATAGGAGGAAATACACTCCCAAGTCCTTCTCTGCGTCAAGAGCTGACCCAGGGACGTTGGGCTGTTGAGAGGCACAGAGCCCAGCCGAGAGATGTCACGCTCCTCCGGGTGTTCTGCAGGAACGTTGCACCGGGTCGGCCAAGGAGTTGCCCTGTCCCAATTGATGTACAGATAAAAGAGCTGCTGCCATGACCCCCCCTCCCTCCCTCCCAGGCAGATGCTCTTCAACAGCAGGGGCACAGGGGTGCAAAAAGGGGGTGGGAAACCAAGCAAGATCTGAGACAGGCGGAAATAAAATAAGAGGGAGTGAGTCAAGGGAGCAGACCCATCCCATGCAGGACACGGCAAAAGCTAACCACAGATCCACACATTCCAAGTATTTATTCTGACTTGGGGAAACCTACGCATTGTACCCAAGAAAGATTTCGGCCCTGTGGAGGGCTCCGGGTCTCCACCCAGTCCAGAAGGGTCCCGGTGCCTTGCAGCCTGCTGTTGTATACCAAGTGGAAACCACCACCACCCAGCTCTTCTGCCCCCCCCCTACTGCCGCCCCAATCTCTCCACAGCTGGGCATGCCAAACAGGACGGAAGTGAAGCATGCCCTTCGTTCTTCATCCTCACGAACTACAGCAAACCAAAAACCGATAAGCTTCTGAGAAACACAAACCTTCCCAGAAGAACAGGCAATCTGGGCGATCAAAGAACCAACCCCCCCCCCGGGGGGAGGAAAGAGAAGAACCCACTCGTGATTCTTTCGGTCACACGCAGTTCGCAGAAGGTAAACCCAGACGGAAATCCAGCTGCAAAGAGGCTCTCCTTTCTGTTTCCCCACTGACACCCATCGCTTTCATGGTGGTGTAAAAAGAAACTTTTAATTAATCCTTAACAACAAATAAATAAAAATTCAAATTAAAAAAAAAAGGCCAAAGGTCCACAGCAATGTCAGCCCTGCAAACCTGAAACCCATCGGGAGAAAGATGTCTGGCCGGTCTCGAAGTCCAGAGCAGAGCTTGGATAGTTACTTCCCACTTTAGAAAGTCCTTCACTCCTGTTGGCTCTTCTGCTGCTTAAAAGAAATTGACCGCCCTTCGCCTGCTTCCAAGTTCAAAGAGCAGACACTTTCACCGTTTCTTTGTTTTCTTTGCTGCTCTATCGCCAGTTCCCATGGTTTGAAATGAAAAATGGCAGATGCGAGCTTGATCTGTTTTTAAATAATTTTGGCTTTTAAAACAACAACAACAACAACTGACTCTTAGGAACACGTTTATCTGGTTAAGAAAAAAAATATTTTAAACACATTAACCTTCTTAAGTAACATATTTTGTATGTTTGGGGAACTGAGAAATGTTAAATACTTTAAATAAACAAACAAGTTTTTATGATTTAAAAGTAACTAGAAAGCTGTTGTTCACCCCACCAATAAAATTAAGCCGTTCCCACTGGATATGTTACTGCTGAAGTCCTTTTCTTATCCCTGACCACTAGTTTGGGTGAATCTGTTTGCCCTTTAAAGGCCTCTAAGGGAGAAACAGGTAATACAGATAGCCTGCAATCAGAGCAGTAACACTTAGGTATGTATACATTAGAGCAGAAGGCATGCTGGCTGCGGCTAGGGCTGAGCAATCAGACTTTGTTAACTTTCTTATGGCTGATCACAAAACCAAGCGAGCTGATTTGCAAATAAACAGGGTGAAAAATGCTTTTAGGCCTTAAGGAATCCCCTTATATCTAATGTGAAATTCTCTATGATGTCTCTCTGTCGGCCTCAGACTAAACACAGGCTCACCAAGCCAAGAGCATTCAGTGGCCACAGGCTGCCTGCACAGTCCCTCACAGAAGCCCATCCACGCCACCTCCCCGAAGCTGCCGTCACCCACGTGGCCGCAATAGCAGAGGTGCCCTCTCCAATTATTATTATTATTATTTCTGGAGGCCAAACTACCTCTGTGACAGGCCGAGTTTTTGGCTTTTGTGACAGGAAGTGGAGCCGCCAGCTGTATTTTTAAAAGAAGCGGCCTTTCTCCAAGCTAGCATCTCTGAACGTGCTCCCATCCTGGACCGCTGGGTGCCACCGGGTGCAGGAAGGACTTACGGAAAGCTGGCCACAGACCCCGCAACGGGGTAACACCCCCCCCCGGCCTATCCAGAAACGAATTCTGCTGCGCTCAACTGAGCTTGCTCCCTGACGGACACGTCTACGAATATCCTTCAACCAGCTACGCCTCGGACTTAAGCCAAGCCTCTGATGACTTGTTATTGCTATTTCTTTGCCCATTTATATAAGTGCCATCCGTGTCAAGCGGGTGGTGGAAAAGTCAGATGGCCCATTTTATGAGCGGAAAGACTTGGGTTTTAACACCTAGTCACCCTGGGCCAATCTCTCAGCATCGGTCACTATACCTACGTCAGTGTTCCATCCTTAGGAAAAAAAACGGCATGATTTTTTTGAGGCTGTGTCAAAAATAATCAAGAAAAATAAATAATCAAAAAGGGGTCGAGCCGAGAGGAAATCACTACGTCCAGGTACTTATAAACGTCAGTGGCCAGGAGATGAAATGGAAGTTTGTTTTATTTTTATTTTTCTTACATTAAGAAGTCAGTCTCATGGGTGGGAATCAAGCACCCACGGTTTGTTTTGTTTTTAAACACTGACCGGCCGTGTTCTGGTTGATGAGAAACAGGAGAACGGGAGGTCAGGTCCGTTCCAGGAGACGGTGGGGATGGAAGAGGGAATTGCAACTTGCGCTTCCCCAGGGCGGAGGGAGGGAGGGAAGGAGGGAGACAGACAAACAGACAGAGCCGGACAGGGGTTCCCTTTTCCAGGCACCTGGAGGCTCCACAAACCCACCGACACACACGCTCAAGAATCTCCGCAGGCTGAAGAAGCCGCTCCTCTCTCTACCGGCGCTCAGGAGAAAAAAAACGTGATTAAACCAGAGAAGGTGCAGAGTGGGAGACGGCCAAATAAAAGCACGTCTCCTCTTTTCGAAGAGGTGTCAAAACGAGAACGCAGGGCTGGGCGCTTATTCCACAAAAGCACAGAAATGAGTGTCGGGGGGGGGAAGACTTCGAAATCCTGACAGTTTCTGCCTTCTGTTTATTATTTTGTGTTTTTGTGCCTCTCTCCCCCCCCCCAAAAAAAACTGACTTCTAGGTCGCCTCCAGGATCAGGATCAGTGGGGGAGCTGGTGGGAGCTGGTGAAACCGCCAAAAATCCCCCCCCCCACGCCACCCCTTTTGACACTTACAGACATGCTTTAGTAACTGAAGGTTTTCCTGCCAAGGATTTTTTTAAAAAACAGCCCCCACCGTGGGAAGAGAGAAAGCCTCTCCGGGGATGTTCTATTTATCGAAGCTGCCTTCTAAAGTCAGAGGAGCCCCGTGAGACATAAACGCTGGCAACCTGAAGCAAGGGCACGGCTACGACCAAACAGGGCAGCGGCGGCGGGGGGGTCCAGAAGGGAGAAAGTCCCTGCCTGGAGATAGCCCCCCCCCACCTGGCCAACCAGCGGCAGAAAAAGAAAAGAACGAAAGAAAGAAAGAAAGAAAAAGAAAGGGGAGGCCCCCTCCCTTCTTCCCTTCACCCGGAGAGGCAACCACGAGCGCCGGCAGCACATGGAAGGAGGGGGCCCTTCCTCTCCGGGCCGGGCCAAACGGCTTGCTTTGAGCGCCTTCTGGGGCAGGCAGAAATTCAACAGGGGGGGCCCACACGCTCCACCTGCAGAATGTCCGTCTACCCAACCCCGGGAAGTGGCACCTAGGGGTCCCTCCGGCGGGGGAGGGTGGGGTGGGGGCACTCTGCACATGCTCGGCCCCAGGGCTTTTCCTCTTCGCTCCACGCCGCCAAGAGGAGGGAGGGA